TTGGGTGGAGGGTGTGTGGGAAGCACTTGTGTTAGGTAAAGGCACTATCAGAGAGAGCTGGTAGCTGGTTATGTTGGGTGGAGGGTGTGTGGGAAGCACTTGTGTTAGGTAAAGGCACTATGAGAGAGAGCTGGTAGCTGCTTAAGTTGGGTGGTGTGCAGAGATCGCAGTTTTATAGGCTAGATGGATCTTTTGTAAAGAGAGAGGAGGGCCAGGAGGAGGAGAGAGGAGGGCAGGAGGAGTAAAGAGGAGGGCAGGAGGAGGAGAGAGGAGGGCAGGAGGTGAAGAGAGGAGGGCAGGAGGAGGAGAGGAGAGGGCAGGAGGAGGAGAAAGCAGGGCAGGAGGTGGAGAGAAGGACTATCATGTAATATTTGGGGATAATTTAGACACCAGGAGCACTCATATAGGCACTGGGGAGCGTACATGTTAACCCCAGAAGAGGTCATTAATATAATCTCACATAGTGGGAGGATATTGCTAATTGATGAGTGTATTTGTTGCTGTTTAAACACCTTGACTCAGAATTTCCAGTTGACATCTGGAGTGTGGGCTGCATTCTAGCAGAGATGCTCTCTAATCGACCACTGTTCCCAGGAAAGCACTGTATCCTTTACAATGACACTTCAAGCATGGTGCGGTCGTGTCTGCATGCGTGCATGCATGCATGGGTGCATGGGTGGGTGTGGTTGTGTGTGTGCGTGCGTGCGTGCGTGCGTGCGTGCGTTCGTTCATGTGTGTGTGTATGCATGCATGTGTGGGTGGGTAGGTGGGTGTGGTTGTGTGTGTGTGCATGCATGTGTGGGTGGGTACGTGGGTGTGGTTGTGTGTGTTTGTGTGTGCGCCCATGTGTGTGTTTGTGTGAATGCATGCGGCTACGTGTACGTGTATCTTTGTGTGTGTGCGTGTGCGTGTGTCTGAGTATGTGCATTTGGGTGATACATGCGTGAATGTCTGTGTGTGCATGTGTGCCTGCATGTCTGTCTGTGCATGTGTGCCAAGAGTAGATAATAACACAAGAGTGAGACAACCGATTCCCGCATTTTTAACCGATTTTTCTCATCAAAATTTGCCACCAATAAAGAAGCGATCCCGCATTTTTAACCGATTTTTCTCATCAAAATTTGCCACCAATAAAGAAGCAAGTGTATACGTTCCTCAGCTTATTATGACCACTAATCACTCACCTTCATGGTACTGATATTCGTTTACATATATTTGCTAGC